GACATAGAATTAGATCACTTATTCTAAGGCCTATCCTATCTAAAGTTATACATAACTCATATGCACTACATAGTTATAGAAGTATATGATAAGGATCACTCCCCTATAAGTATTGATAGTTTATAAGACTATTAATTGCCTCTTTTACCCCTATTCTCACGTAGATATCATGGCAGGATTCATCCTCCTAGGGATCCGTACTTCCTTAATCAAGGGAACGGAGGTGGGCTAGAGGTCGAACCGGAAGAAGAATTTAAGGAAGAAATGAATGAAGATTCTGACTCAGAGCCTAAAGCCAATGAGCAATCCCTAGCGGCTCTGATGCCACATCCTAACCCTCGACCTAAATTTCTAGGTCCAACGCCTCTGTGGGCAGAAAGTTTGGGAAGGTGGAGCCATGAGCAAGGATAACCCTTTCCATATAATGGAGATTGCAGCTTCTATAACTTGAGAGAGGGAGGTTATGCAGACAGGATCCTTCCAATCTTGGTTCGCTGAGTGGCTTGCAATGAAGAGCATGGTAGGGCAGTTATCCACTGAACCATGGAGATAGATGCAAACATTGGAGTCAATACGGTTCGTATTCTCCAACTTAAGGCGGATCAAAGGAGGACCCTGAATCACAACAAGGGTCTGCTTTGGGAGTTAACTGCAACTCAAGCTGAGGTCAGAGAACTGCAGGCTCGTTAGACAGTATTTGAGAGGCGCATGTTTGATATGGAGCATAGGTTAGCAGAATCAAGGGCTCGTTCGAGCGGTTCCCTATGCTATTAGAGGATGCTCTACTCACCCTTTCTTTTGGTTTAAGGAATAGCCTCCGTAGATGCTCTAGGTAGCACTCTTTCCTGTAAATATTCCTGTCTAGCAAGTACTATTCCACTAGATCTTTATGTTGTCAAGTTTTCCCTCTGTTGGTATATCGTGAGACCTACTCCAAGGTCGAATTTTCAGAACTCTATGTAACTTTTGTACCAACTATTATGACATATATTGTTTCTGCTAGCGATCATCTCCATCAAAGTCTCTTCTAGCTCAATATTATTCCTCTTGGTATCTCTGTTGAAGTCTTATCATCATTTCATCTTTTATAGCTAAAGGATGCCGCCTCGCAAACGTCCCAACATAAATCCTCCTATAACTCCAACTCCTCCACCACCCCCACCACAGTTCGATGCAACAATGTTTCAAGCTGCCGTGACTGCGGTTGTAACCGCAATTATGATGAAGATGAATTATGGTGGTGCCAATGGTGCCGGAACAGGTACCAACTCCGACCAAGGTGATAGCCAAACGCGTACAAGGGAGTGTACCTACAAGGACTTCACCAACTACTAACCCAGGGTCTTTAATGGAACTGGGGGAGTCATTGCTTTATCGCAATGGATTGAGAAGATGAAGTCGATCTTTGAGATTTGCTCCTGCCTGGAAGGAAGCAAGGTAAAATTTGTTGCATGTACCTTCTTTGATAGAGCTCTGACATGGTGGAATGGCTATGTCAAGTCACTCACCCTAGTAGTGGCTAACGGGATGGGATGGGATACACTGAAGGACCTCATGACATCAGAATATTGCCCGAAGGGTGAAGTTCAGAAGCTCAAGCAAGAGCTTTGGGGCCTTAAGATGTCAGGTTCTGCCATAGTGGCCTATACCACAAGGCTCGGTGATTTGGTGGCCCAATGTTAGGGTATGGTCCCCACAGAAAGCAAAAATATCGATAGATATATATGGAGACTAGTACCCCCATTTCAGGAGAAACGTTTTGTCATCAAACCCCACTACATGCGACAGTCCCAAGCGTTTGGCACAAACAGTTCTAGACCATGGAGTCCAACCACAAGCAACTGCAGCTACCCCTACTGTCCTAGAAACAACCAAGACAAGTGATAACAAGAGGAAGTTTTGGGATAGGAAGAAAAGCCAATCAGAACAACCATTTGCCAAGAAACAACAGGTTGTGGTTGTTCATGTTGCAACAACCCCTGCAGCCCCTGCACCAGTGAAACAATATGCGGGGAGCCTGCCCAAGTGCAACAAGTGCAATTTCCATCACAACGACCCCTACCATGAAAAGCACTGTGTTAATTGTAAAGGGAAGGGGCACACGGCCCGTTGATGAAAGGCACCAACTAGGCCAATCACCCAGGTCCCTACCACAGGAGCAATCCAGGCCTACTACGTGTGTGGAGAAACGGGGCACTTCAAAAGAAATTTCCCTAAGGCCAAGAATGCTGGCGGAGCAGGAATACTTCTTGCTATTAGTCACGAGGAAGAAGTGAAGGACCCCATCGTAGTCATGGGTACGTTTCTCCTCAATAACCCATATGCATGCATACTATTCGATAGAGGAACGGAGAGTAGTTTCGTGGACCAAGAATTTAAACACTTACTTAATCAAGCACTAAAAGAAACATTCATCGTAGAAATGGCTAATGGGAAGACTGAGACCTCTAGTGAAATTTTCATAGGATGTACTCTCTCTCTAGAAAACCATTCATTTCCAATCGACCTCATGCCTGTCTTAATCAAAAGCTTCGATGCCATCATTGGCATGGACTAGTTAAGTCTCCATCATGCTGACATTCTGTGTTTTGAGAAAGCCATCCATCTAAATCTGCCAAGTAGCAAAACCTTAGTGATCTACGATGACAGGTCGGGTGCAAACCTTCAA